AAAGGAGCTTGAGAAGTTGAATTATTTCAAGATTTGTACAGTTTGTATTGATTAGTAGGTCGGAAGAGTGGATGTTAGTTGTGCTAGTTGTGTGCTATAGTTTCTCATCTACAGGTTTTTGTGTTTGACCGTACATGATGCTTTTGGTAATGAAATTTTTTATTTACAAAAAAAAAAAAGACTTTTGAAACAACTGGTCCTAGAAGCTTAAGTGGTAAAAGTTTTGGCCGTATGGCTATAAAGCTTCTAAGGGTGAATTGGGTAAAATGAAAAGTTTTAATTTAAGTTATTTTCAAATATATAAATGTGTCATTCTTTTTAGAATTGACTAATAAGAAACAACAAGAACAACAACCCAGTAGGATCCCGCTAGTGGGATATGGGGAGAGTAGTGCGTACGCAAACCTTACCCCTACCAAGGAGAGATAGAGAGGCTGTTTTCAAAATACCCTGGGCTCAGAGACAATAAATCCGTAACAACTACATAAACCAGAAAGGTGTGTCAATTTAATTAAAACAGAGGGAGTATCTTTTTTGCTCCGAAAACAAGACACATGTTACCTCGACACTTGAGTATTTTAATAGAGCAATGTATGAATTGGTAACAATGTTTTAAAAGGTGGGATCGTGAGGTGAAGCATTTTACCTCTGACGAGGCGAGGTATAAGTCCTGATACACGAGGCGTAAGTCCCATGTATCTTTAAATTTTACTAATTTCAAGAATTTTAAGATAGTATAAAATAAAAAGTAACTATAAAAATTACATTAAAATCACAAATTATAACAAATAATATATTTAAAATATCTATAAATTATAATTCAAATTATGAATAATAGGAAAAGTATGACATATATCATAATATGCAAATTAGTTGCAATGTCGTTACAACTCAAACATCAAAAGTAATGTATTCGATACAAAATCTTATATGTATCTCTTAAGGAGTAATGAATCTTGAAAGAGAATTTATATAAAAACATAATTCACAATTTAAATATGATCTTCTAGCATCATTTATTTTTAAGTATCAACAAGTTAATAAAAGTGACACATAATTTACCATACTATACCATGATAACTAATTTTTTGTAAATAGTTACTAGCTAACATTTAGCTATTAAACAAATAAGTATTGTATCTCGTAAATGTGGAAAAAATAATATTTAGGAAAATAATTATTAAAAAAATTATGGATTAATATATAATAAAGCCATAACAAAAGTTAATAAATAAATACTTTTTAAATGAAAGATTCATTTAAAATTTACTATCATAGCAGTCTTAGTGGATAACGTGCAATAATTTTCATTTTCATTATGACATAAAATACTCTCAATATAATGATTTATAATTAAGAAAAAAGTAATTTTTAATAGTCATCGATTTATAAAAAGAATTTGAGGATTTACAAGGTTAGTTACACACAATTGCATAAAGTTCTATCAGGCGAGCCTAATACGTTGGGCGTTGGGCGATGGGCGTGGGGCGTGTCCGGGGCGTAATGTCACGACCCAACCTATGGGCCGCGACGGGCACCCAGTACCTTACTCAACCGAGTGCCAACTTAACATATCTTTCTTATTATACTATCATGGGTAAATGGGCCAAGATGATCATCATGACATCACAAGAATAAAACATAAGTGCATACTAGACATATGATGACCTAACATGATATAGAAACCTATACATGTGACATACGCGCCTATAAGGCTGACATGATCATTTGTAAACTCAAAACATAGGCCGACAAGGCCATACAAGTATCCATATACCTAACATTTGTCTACAAGCCTCTAAGAGTACATAAACATCATAAAGGTCGGTACAAGGCCCCGCCATACCAGTCAATGCATGTCCCAATCATACTGACAAAATAGGCAACTCCAGAACAAGTGGAGTGCAGCAAGACCTTCCGCTGAGCTGATAGCCTACTAGGAGGACTGTCAACCTGTCTATCGGGACCTGCGGGCATGAAACGCAGCATCCCCAGGCAAAAGGGAAGTCAGTACGAATAAAGTACTGAGTATGTAAGGCAGAAAGCATAACTAAGAACAGTAATGTAAAGAGAGATGTAGAAGATACAACCTGTAGCATCTGAGTGCCTTTGAGATATAGTGACATGAAATGCATGATACATATATATATACGAAAACTTTTAAAAACATCCGCCTCTGTGGGCATCATCATCATCATATCGTACCCGGCCTCAAAGAGGACTCGGTAAAATCATACCCAGCCATCATAAGGCTCGGTAGAATCGTACCCGGCCACGTGGAGCTCGGTAAACCAAACTGATCAGTGGTTGCACAATAGGTGCCGTACCCGGCCGACTATAGCACGGCTCGGTAGAGTAAAATAGATACCATATATAATGCATGCTGGACTCATGGAATCACGCTCTAAACCTTTTGAAGTGACGTAAGGTAATTGCACCTTTGATTAGCATTATGGACATCATACCATCATTATGAACCTCACTAGGATTAGAGGATCATATATACTTTCTTAGTATAACTTTACAAGAAATGAACAACATGGACAACCTTAGTTTCTAGGAGTAGATTCATTATGAAATAGCGTATTGTGTACGTTCGTTTCACTTTAGATCATGCCAAAAGAAAGAAGGAAGTGCCTTAACATACCTTAACCAAGTTGAGTCCTTAATACCTTCCAAGAAACTCTTCAAACAATTCAACTCAATCTATCATATCATAAGGAGATTCAAAATCAGTGTTGAGCAAAGGCTAAATCTGTAACTTAAGTTAGTAGCTCGTTTACGTAAATTCGGGCAGCATCTCCCCTGTAACAAGACCCTCCTCCAATACCATATACCAACAACACCAAGAACAAATCAGTAACAACATGTACGCATTACTTCCCAACCTTATCTCCACCACAATATATCACAAAACAACCTACACACCCTAATCACTTCATACATGAAACGACAACAAAAGTAGTGTCAAACAATCCTTAAAAAAATAACGACGAATAATCAGCCCACCATTCCATCATTATATGTTGTTTTCCCACACCTTGTATCCTCCAAAACCCCATAAAACATCAGCACAAGGGGCCAACACGAAACAGCCCACAAACAGTCCAATACAAGTCAAAAAAAACTCGAACTTACGGCTTCCGATCACCGTCCCGTGAGTTCTAACTAGTAGGAAATGAATTTATCAACCTTCCTTGATATTTAAAGCTTAAATACTGAAAGTAGAAGTTTTCCTAACTATTAAGTACCTTCCAAAACTCAAACTATAATGAAAAAGAGAAGCGACATAGAGATACTTACGTCGTAGGGATCGTTCTAGTGTTATCGCTTCTTGATTTCATGTCCGGGATGATAATCTTCCTTGAAACCCTAGAAGAGACCTTTAGGATATGTTTATGGGTGTTCTCTGGTCGTGTTTCTCTGAAAAATGAAGAGAAAACCGACCTAAAACTTATATATATCAACTTTGGAAAAGTTAAAGAGGTGCTAGCTTGGCACCCTAGCATTGGCCCATTTTCCGATGCTTATATCTTTTTATTCGGATGTCGTATGAATGAACGGTTAAGAGAATTGGAAACTACATTCCAAGAGCTTCAATTTGGTATATAATATGTCCCAATAAGACCTCATATAACACACTAAATGTATTGCTCAAAAAGCTTTAGTGACACACCTACTTGTCACTTATGATGTTTGTGTAGTCTCGCGAAACTGCAAATATCTCTCTACTCCTAAGTTGTATCGATGAAAGGTTTAATGCGTTGTAAACTAGACTCGTAGATCTTCAATTTGGTAGGTAGATAATCTCATAATTCCATGTATATTGGGAGAAAAATACATCTACATTTGACCTAAGTTTCAACAAATTTATGAGTGTAACTTGTGAAGACCTTTGCCAACTTTTGTTCCAGAACTTGCTTGACTTTAAAACGTAGCACACGACTATCATACGACAAGATTAACTCAATAGCAAACCTCCTTATCATGTAATAAAGCATAGTCTCACCCTAAAGTACATGTTATAACATTCCATTCTTGTCGACTTTCGACGAAACTTAATTTCTTCAATTGGTTTAGCTTCTAAGCTTTCCAACCTTCTTGGTACTCGCTATTAATGATCTTAAATATTCGTAACCTCCAAGTTAATATGACTAACTTACTTTATATGCTTCCAAATATAATCTTATTTCTGAGCTTACATCAATTGACTTACGACTTACTCTCATGTACTAAAACTTGGGGTGTAACACGTAAGCCCGACAGCCGAAGCGTAAGTCTCACGGAACTAAGCCCCACAGATAAGTCCATGGACGTTTTACGAGTGCTCCGCCCCTGAGCAAGTCCCTCGTGAGTTCCAATTCTGCCTTTTAAAATATTATTGTTAAGTAATATCCCCATTGAGCGACTTCCTTGTGATTATACATCGTTAAAAGGATTACAGTTGAACTTATAGAGAATTTTGAGAAATTAGCAAATGACATGTGACCCCATTAAGGCAACTATGTTTATTATCTTGATTTTTTATCTGCCTAATGGAAAAATAGTCACTAAATAAATTTTGTTTCTAATACAACTATGAAAGAAAAAAATTAGAAGGTGTGCTACTTTGCTTAGAAAAGCATTAACCTATTCCACAAAATTCTTTCTAAAATTAAAATGAAATTTTGTGGCTTAAAAGGGAGAATGGAGTAAAATACGATGAATAAACTTTGTTATTCTCAACAAAGCTGGTACATAGTTTGTCTTTTCCTGTGAGAAAATATAAATGGCTAGGAGAGCCGTCGACTCCAACTATCGTCCATCGATCCATATTAAATCTGACCTACTGTTTATCCTACCTTCTCTACGTTCTTGACAACTCATCTTTGTCTTAGTAAAGTCTTTCAGTGGCACGTTTCGGTCCTCTTCCCTATTACTTAAAAAAATGAACCGCCAATTCAGATACAAGATACGATCTTGCAAAAATATTAGAAACCAAAACTATGCATTCATGTAAATGAAGTGGAAACAAAGGAATAGATAATAGATACATTAAACCACTAGTAATGTTTAAGAATAGCATTTATCGACCAAAGCTTTACCAGCAATCTGGTCAACAACTTTTATTCTATTTCACAAAAGAAAAAGAAAAGGAAAAAAGAACCATACATTATTTTTCACCTATAACAATCTGTAAAGAAAATGACATCCACATTAAGAGGAGCCCAATCAAAAGGTCCATTGAGGAGCCCAATCAAAAGGTACATTGAGGAGCCCATATAACGAATGACCCGCAACGATCAAGCAGCCATTGGGCCACACTTACATAATTGAGCATCCTGTGGCATTTTCTTCACTAAAGTATTGGTCACATCTACTCACATAACAACCCCTTCCGTAGCCATACGGCCCAGGCCCAGGCCCAGGCCCATAGTTATACCCATAGTTATCGTAACATGGGGCCGGAAGGACAGGTCTTCCGTACCATTGATAACATGGGCCCCCGATATGACCCTCGTAGCATTGTCCACAACAATATCCTAGTGGTGGCTGAGGGTATTGTTGAACCATTATTGGCTCTGGTGCTGGCGGTGGTGGTGGTTGTGATGGTGGAGCCACTGGATTAGGTTTAGGAGCTTCTTTGGGCTTTTCGGGCTCTTTGGGCTTGGGCTTTTCAACTTCTTTCGGCTTTTCTGGTTCTTTGGGCTTCTCGGGCTCTTTTGACTTTTCCGGTGCCTTAGGCTTCTCGGGCTCCTTGGGCTTTTCAATGACGACAACCGTAGTCTTCTCAGGTTGTTTAGGCTTTTCGGGCTCTTTGGGCTTCTCCGGTTGTTTGGGCTTCTCGGGTTCTTTTGGTTTCACAGGCTCCTTGGGCTTTTCAGGAGCTTTGGGCTTTGGAGGTTCTTTGATTTCAATGCTCTTAATTACTCCACATCCTTTATTACACAATTTGTCACGAATTTTCTCAGGATCACAGCATACCACAGTGATTGTGATTGTATTAGCCTTCTCATCATATACCTGGTCTCTAATTTCTCTTGCCCGAAAATTTTAACATCACAAAAAAAAAAAAAAAAAAAATCAAATTAATTTTTATCCAATATGATCATATTATATTTAAGTAAAAGAGACTTACGAGGGAATTTACAGAGAACTTTTTTGACCTTCTTATAGCAGCTGGAGCACTGAAGATCAACCTTGAGCACCATTATAGTGGTCTGTTAAACCATTAATTAGTATGATGGGGTTATTTGTCAAGTAATTAAGAACAATATCAAAGCTCTTATAGTTATAAAAAGATTAATTAATTCGTTGAACGATACTATGCAATAATAAGCTAGTTAATTGTTGTTAAGAAATCCACGTACGAATAGTAACGAAGAAGTATAGAGCACTTTAGACGGAAATATAAAAGGAAAAAGAGTTGGAAACGATCATACCTTTTTAGTTTCGTCACCACCCATGATTGATCTGAACTTACAGAAAATTGAATTCTTTGTGTGAGGAGGAAAACAGTATAGTTTTAATTGGAGTAGTATGAAAGAAAGAAGATGGAGAAATGTCTTATGAAGAAAAAATGTAAGTAATAAAATAGAAGGAATAGAGTAGGAACACGTCCTAAATGGAAGTTGAAAGACATGATATCATCAAAATTGGCAGCCACTAGAATTTGGTGAGGGGCCTAAGATTGCTGATTATATACTCTCCATTTGCATGTGCTGGCTTTGATAGTCACATCTCACCTTCCCTTTGTTACCAAGCAAATACTTCTTTAACCCGAATACAGTCAAACCACTCTATAACAGTATTCTTATATAATATTTTATTAGGAAAACTAAATATTTTCGGATTCAATTTTCATGTTATGTTATAACAACACTTTGCTATAACATCCAAAAGTATCGAAACACACGAGACTGTTATAGAAAGATTTGATTGTACTAATTAATTTATGTACTAAATATTGTGGAGAGTAGAGATGGGAGAGCTTTAATTTAGTTGGGTTACTGCGTTAATGAAAGATGCAAACATTAATATTTACTCTCTCATGTCCATTTTAAGTGATATTTTTTTGTTGTTTTTACAAATATTAATGAATTCATCTTTTAGTATTAATTAATAATGTAATTGATCATATTAACTTTAATTTGTTTATTTAAAATACAGTACATACTCCTAAGCTCTTTACTCCAAAGGTAACCTTAATGTAATTCTTTCTTAATATTTAAAAAAATCAAATATTGTGCCACAAAAAAAAATTTAAAAATTATTAAAGTGGACCGGAGGGAGTACAAAATTAACTCATATCACATGGTAACTAGTGCATGTTGCTAATACCACAAACTGTTTTCAGCTGATTGAGCCTTTTTAACTAGCTATATAGTTTGTCTAACAAAAGAGTGGATCAGAAAATTTCTCCTCCAGATTATAGTCTATAGATGGATAGAAGAAAAGATAATAAGACTGTTTAATCAAATAAATTGAGATGGGAAAGAACAAGCTACAAATAAAAAGTAAATTAGTGATAGTGTTATGAATAGAATTGTAATCAAAGTGAATGTTTATCTTTTAGAGAGTTTTATTTTGTAGTTAAGTTATTCTTTCCCTATAAATAGAGGGGTCTTACCACATTGTAAATCATCCCAAAATTCAATATGAATTTTCTCTCTCTCTTTCTCTACAATATTGTTCTTCTTCTATTATTGTTTCATAACACGTTATCAGCACGAGACTCTACTGTCTCAAGAAGCTCTTTGAGAAGATCAAGCAAATGGGGATATCTCACAAAGCAAACTTGGATTAAAGTTCAATTGTAAAAAATATTTGTTTAGTTGATTCATGTACGACACATACAATATTCAAAGAGAAGAAATATTTCTCTCATTTAAGTATGTGTAAGACAGATATTAGTACAATTTCTGGTAGTAGTAACTTAATTGAAGGCTCTGAAAGAGCTACTATAACTCTGCCTAAGGGAACAATACTTTGTTGGACTTTAAGAGCATTGGGTTTTAAAGACTAAGAGTGTGAATGGGAAATGGTGGGAATTAAAATGGAGGGAAATGAAAATTTGAATCAAGTGAGCTTTTGTCATGAACTTTGTACCATATTGGTGAAAGACAACTACACTTGTGTGTATAAATATAAGATCACTTCTTAAAGCTCTTAAAAGGAGTTGAAGAGAATGAACCCTCACGCCGTCGTCGTCGCTCGGCTTCGGCTTCGGATTTGGATTTGGATTTGGATTTGGCTTTGTCAAATGATCGATAAGATTATTTTTTGGACAAAATTTATTTAATTAATTATTTAATAATTAATTAAATGTGAGTCAGTTCATTAACGAAATTAACTGGAATCCTGGAATCCAGCTGAACGTTTGCTTTCCCTTCTAAAGAGACACATCTTCCTGAACAGACACACCTTTTCCTTCTGAACAGACACATCTTCCTGAACAGACACACCTCTTCCAATAATTGCCTATAAATTCTGAGGCATGGCTTCCATTTCATTTACTTAAAATCAACTTCTGAATACTGCATTCTTCTTCGCAGTCTCTCCCTCTCTCTCAAATTCGTAAGTGTGATTTTTCTCCGTTCTTTGAGTTCGTTGGTATCCTGCAGCTTGTATTGTCGCTGTTGCAGGAAGGTTTATTCCGTTTCATCCTGGGAGAATTTAATCCATTACCTTGGCAACTTGTGAGGGGGTTAAAATTCCTTAAGGACGCACAAGGAAATTATGGACTCGGAATATTTCTTTTCGTTTTTAGATTTTCTATTTTAACACAGTGACGTTCTACAAGCTTAAGGAATTTTATTTTTAACGTTTCTGTGTTAAAATTTATATTGAATTGTTATCTATATTTTGTGTACTGCTTTGGAGACTAAAGCCTAGTGCTTTCTACTCCAATATCTATTCTGTCCGGTTTAAAGTATATCAAAACTTTACCGGAATAATAAACGTACGAGTTTGAAGTATATAAAAACTTCACCATTGTTACGTATTGTATGTTTGGTTTGGAATTCAGTTTGAAGATATCAAAACTTCACTGATTTAACAAAGTTCTGTTTGTGTACAATTTTACAGAAACATGATGAATGAAAACCAAACTAATGGAAATGCTGCTGGAACGGGTGTTTCATCGGGTGCTGCTGCTTCGTCAAGACCAGCACATACAATGGCACCGGCAGAAAAACCCGGGAAGTTTTTAGGTACAGACTTCAAACGTAGGCAGATGAAGATGCTATTCTATCTAACTACACTAAGCCTGCAATGATACATCAAGGAGGATGTTCCAGTCGTGGGAGAAGATACTCTTGAGGCTGAACGATTTGTGGTAATTGAAGCATGGAAACACTCTGGTTTCTTATGCAGAAACTACATTTTGAGTTGTTTGGAAGATGGCTTGTATAATGTTTATAGTGTCATGGAAACTTCAAAAGAGTTATGGAACGCTCTTGAGAAAAAGTACAAGACCGAGGATGCTGGACTTAAGAAATTTGTTGCTGCAAAATTTTTGGAGTTAAAAATGATTGACACTAGGTCGGTCATCACTCAGGTCCAAGAATTACAAGTCATCGTGCATGATCTCCTTGCTGAAGGTATGACCCGAGTCAATAATTCTATTAATGATATTAATAGTCTTATTAATTATAAATTTGTTATTGAAGGTATGGTCATAAATGAGGCTTTTCAAGTTGCTGCCTTCATTGAAAAGTTACCTCCTTTATGGAAGGACTTTAAGAACTACTTGAAGCATAAGCGCAAAGAGATGACACTTGAGGATCTAATTGTTCGTCTAAGGATAGAAGAAGACAACAAAAATGCTGAAAAGAAGTCACGTGGCTACTCGGCAATAATGGGAGCTAATATTGTTGAGGAAGCACCGGGAAATAAAAAGAAAAGAAAGCAGGCATCTGGACCAAAGAATTACCCGAACAAGAAGAAGTTCAAAGGTAGTTGTCACAACTATGGAAAGCCCGGGCACAAGGCCATAGATTGCCGTGCTCCGAAGAAAGAGTTACAAAAGAAGAAGAATCAAGCAAATGTGGTAGAAGTGGAGGACTTGTGTGCCATGTTGTTTGAATGCAACTTGGTAGGAAATCCGAGAGAGTGGTGGATTGATTCTGGAGCCACCCGCCATATCTGTGCAAACAAGGATTTATTCTCTTCTTATGCTCCCGCAGGACCCGAACAAACTCTTTTTATGGGAAATTCATCTACGGCCAAAATCGAGGGAGTTGGAAAGATTGCATTGAAGATGACATTCGGGAAAATTTTGACTTTAAATCAAGTTCTCCATGTTCCAGAAATTCGCAAGAATTTAGTATCTACAGCACTTTTTGTAAAAAATGGATTTAAGTGTGTATTTGTTTCCAATAGTGTTGTTCTAAGTAAGAATGATATGTATGTAGGCAAAGGTTACCTGAATGAGGGCCTTTTTAAGCTTAATGTAATAGCTATTCCTATCAATAAAGTTGAAGCTTCTTCTTACTTAGTTGAGTCAAACATTTTATGGCATGCGCGTTTAGGCCACGTCAACTTCAAAACATTACGGAAAATGATTAATTTGGAAGTATTGCCAAAATTTGATTGCATTAATTCAAAATGTCAAATCTGTGTAGAATCAAAGTATGCTAAGCATCCGTATAAGTCATTCGAAAGGAATTCAAGTCCTTTAGATTTAATACACACAGATATTTACGACATGAAGTCAACACCATCTCGCAATGGGAAAAAATACTTCATCACTTTTATTGACGATAGTACGAGGTATTGCTATATTTACCTACTTAATAGTAAAGATAAAGAAATTGATGCATTCAAGCAATACAAGAATGAAGTTGAAACACAACTTAACAAAAAGATCAAAATAATAAGAAGTGATAGGGGTGGAGAATATGAATCTCCTTTTGAACAAATATGTTTGGAAAATGGCATTATTCACCAAACAACTGCCCCGTACTCTCCTCAATCTAACGAATTGCGGAAAGGAAGAATCGAACATTAAAGGAGATGATGAATGCCTTGTTGATAAGTTCTGGTTTACCGCAGAACTTGTGAGGGGAAGCTATACTTACAGCAAACCGAATAATCAACCGTGTACCCCACAGTAAAACACAGTCCATCCCGTACGAAAAGTGGAAAAGAAGGAAACCCAGCTTGAAATACTTCAAAGTGTGGGGGTGTTTAGCTAAAGTACAGGTTCCTAAGCCTAAAAGGGTGAAAATAGGTTCAAAAACGGTTGATTGTATATTTATTGGATATGTAACCAATAGCAAGACATATCGGTTTCTGGTTCATAAATCAGAAAATCCTGAGATCCATGTTAATACGATAATAGAATCAGATAATGTTGAATTCTTTGAAAATATTTATCCGCATAAAAAGGAAAGTGAATCGTCCTACCAAAAGTCAAAACGACCTCGGGAGGAAACAACAGATGGTATGTCTAATGAGGAAAATCTGAGAAGAAGTAAACGTCAAAGGACATCGACTTCATTCGGTCCAGATTTTCTGACTTTTCTGCTAGAAAATGAGCCTCGAACCTTCAAGGAAGCAATGTCTTCCTCAGAAGCACAATATTGGAAAGAGGCTGTCAATAGTGAAATAGAATCCATATTGAGCAACCACACTTGGGAA